CACAACTCGGGCAGTGGTGACTCAACCCTACGACTTGGATTCCAACTACTGGACTGACAGTTCCTTAAACCAAAAGGAATTCACCAAGACAAAAATGAAAATTTTCCATTAAGCTAAAGTAGATGTTCTGCTTTAAGAAATATTTACTTCTACTGCATTTAATTCTCCAAGACTCTCTAGTATAAGGAGAGTATTAGCTACTTCAAAATTCTAAACGATAATTACTTCAAGCCCTCAGTACTTCTGTCCTAGAAATGAACCTATGGAAACACACTTCACCCCAGTTCTTTCAGATAATAAATCTCACTACCTCTACTAATAAAATGCAGTATTATATATGAAACAACTATCCCAGAAATAAGCCTTAACCAAGAAAACAAAATTTCAACATAATGCCAATTCCAAAGAAGCAGATTTAGCAAGACTTTCATGCAAGAAACCTGTGCAGAGTAGTCAGAAATACCTGATGGCAGTCCTGTCACAGACTGGGGCTGGGAGCACAATGTAAAGGAGCCCGAAATACTTCACCACACTGAAGAAGATGGGAATTCAATGTGCGTAAACTCCATGGAGCCCTCATCTTTCTACCCAATCTTTATACAAGTGGCTCACAAACTGATACCGGAATTCCAGCACATAGGCTGAGGCAGAAGGATTGCCACAAATTCAAAACTAGTCAGGACTACATACTAAGACTGTCTCAAAAAAACAATATAAAGCCAGGTGATGGTAGCGTACACCTTTAATCCCAGCACTCCAGAGGCAGGTGGATCTCTGTCTGAGTTGGAGCACAGCCTGGTCTACAGAGTGAGTTCTAAGACAGCCAAGGCAACACAGAGAAACAATGTCTCGAAAAACCACTAATAATAATAATAATAATAATAATAATAACAACAACAACAACAAAACAAAAAAATCTGAGTTTCTCTCTTCTTTTATCTTTTGTCAGAAAGATTAAGCTAAATCTTTGAGAAGAAAAAATAAAAGGAAACTAACTGGAAATGCTTTTAATAAATTAAATAAACACTAAAATGAGAAATAAACCTATGTAGCTGGTATTCACAACCTAACCAATACTTATTTTTCGTGCACAAAAATTAAATGTCAACAACTTTATTGAAAAACTGAACTCTTCTAATTTTACCAACTATTAGGCAAAATACAACCATTGTTTGATGGGAGATGTCATTCTGTATATGTTTCTCATACTGGTTAATGAATAAAGCACTGTTGGCCAATAGGAAAGAAGATAGGAGGGACTAGGAGACAAGGAGAAAATAGGAAATAGGAAGGAGGAGCCAAGGTGGAGAGCCTGGAGAGAACAGAACTGCCAATCCTCTGCTCTCAGTAAGATCACGTGGAAATACATAGAAATGGGTTAATAATTAAGACAGAGCTAGCCGATAAGAAACTAGTAACAGGCCAACAGGATTATATCAAATACAGAGTCTCTGTGCGTTATTTGGGGCTGGCGTGACGGCGGGACAAGACCAGCGGCAGGCAGAAAAACCGTACTCGTTACAATTGTTCTTCTATGGTAGTTTTTATATTAAGTGAATATTTATATGAGTGCCTAAGCAAACAGGACCCACATCATACCTACTGTTCTATAGTTTGCATGCCTGTCCAACACTCGCATCTTGACTTCTTTAACAGTCCTCCAACACATAATTTTCAGGTTCTTCCTGTTCTAAACAAAAACCACAGAAACTTTTCTTGCATGCCTTTTTGCCAGATCAATAAAGGATGGAGGGGAATGAAAGATAAAGAAGCCATAATGAAACCCATCATTTGAATGCCAACCTAAAAAAGACTGTTTGGTTGCACACACCATTAGTCCCCCAGCCCCCAGAGATGGGAACAGGGGGAACAAAAGTCCCAGTGACACACACTTGGGGAGGCTGGGGCAGCACTGGCTCATGAGACAATGTCTTAAAAGAAAGGGAAAAAAAGAATAACTCAGTTTCCAGAAAAAGAGGAGGCAGGGGGTTGACAGTGTTTTCGCCACTGGCTCCATACATGAAAGAGAAAGGAACATTAATGTACTTGACCCTGACCCTGTCCCTTTACCTCAGATGCTGTCACCCACTGGGGATGGGGCTCATTCATGCTATGTTATCCTTTTCTTCAAGCTGCCAACTTTTCCTTCTCTGATTCAGTGCCCCAGTATCAACCAGGGTCAAACAGGAGCAGGATAAAACCTGGTCCACTTAGTGAGATTTCAACAAAACAAGGACAATGACACTTAAACGGTACCTACAGCACTTCTCAAGCCAGGCTCGGAGAGCTGCTCCCTAAGCCTGTATGTAAGGTACTCAGGTACTTTCTGCATCCAAAAGCCAGTGACAGATGCCACCACCACAGCAAAAAGAGTCACTTTGTTGAAAGTTTAATTCCCTCTCAACCAATCCCACACAGGGAAAGGCTAAGAGCTTGGGTACATCTGACTGACATAAAGGATACTAGGTGTTCACTCATACAAAGATACTATGACACTTTTCCCTTTACATTGACACATGCTTCTACTTCCACACCTGAAAAGGCAGAACTATTAAAAGTGAGTTGGCTTTAAAACCTAAACAAAGTCCCTCACAAAACTAATAATTCACAATTTACAAAGCAAAGCTTTCCTATGCTAAACTCTAATGAAAGCACAGCTATCTAATCAGTGTATTTTGTTAAGGCCTCTGGAATCTCCTGTCTACCCATGCAGACTTTTCTAATAAATACTGAAGGGTTTTATTATGAACTAAGAGACATTTTACATAACCAAAACAGATATGCACATTTCCTTTATATGCCAAATTAATACTAAGACAAGACAGGACTGACAATGGTATTGTGGTCCGTGTCCACTGGAAACATCCAGTCTCCCACTGGATTTAACAGCCACAGGTACTCTCTCAAATATGGTACTAACCACAACAAGCTGTTCAGAACACCCAAAAGTACCCTTCGTATTTCACTCACTCTAACATCAGAATAAAAACCAGAATCTCCTTTTTAAAGATGACACATGGAAAGAAACGAATTTGTCAACATTACTCACACTTCACACTATGAGGGCAAAAGTGTTTTCCACATGGACTGAAGGCAGTATGGTGACACTATCTGGTCATTTCACATTTTCACAGAGAAGGTAAATTGTTTTGTCAAATAAAAAGGCTTTATTTAGAGCTTGGTTGTTTTTTGTTTTTTCTTTCTTTTCATCGATTTTTCTTTTTTAAAATATGTCTCTGTTTTTAAAAAATTAAGAAGTCAAGTCTGATACTACAGGTATGCAACTGCACCTACTTTGGAGACTGAGTCTAAGAGGGTCACACACAGCTTTTAAGTCCAGACTGGGATATAGTGGGAGCTCAAGGCCAGCCTGGGCAACTTAAAGAGACTTTATTCCAAAAATTAAAAAATGGGCCGATAACATAGCTCACCTAGAATCATTAATAAACAGGCAAGCAAATGTTTATTATTTAAACTGCACTAAACCAGGTTAACTTTTAAACTCCCAACCTTGAAGAACTACGAGTTTAAAATCCAACAGTTGTATTATAGATTAGGGACAAATGGAAAATCTAGTGCAAAAAAAAAAAAATAAAATAAAATAAAAGCCAACCAAAGTAGAAAAGTCTCCTATAATTTGTTAACAGGTGGTTTCCAAGCCAAAAGGGATTTCTTGGGCAGGAAAACCGCCGTATTGTAAACCTCAGTATATCTTCGTAACGACGTTTTGTAGACATTTTTAACATAGGTGTATTCATTTTAAAAAGTTTAGGTTTCACAGCAACACTTCAAGCTTAGATGGGGGAGGAGCTCATGAAGCTCCGCCCCTAACTTAGTAGCTACTGGCAGTAGTTGAGAGCTGCTAGGGTAAGAATGACTCATGGGGTTGTGGTAACCCGTATGTTGCTCATGCTGCAGTGGATGGTCCTGCCCATGCACATGTGGGAAGCACAGCTGCACTGAGTTATTAGAAGAAGAAAAAAGGCATGAACTTGGAAGGGGAATGGTGTTGGAGGGAATGTGTGTAGGTTGGAGAATATACATCTGATTATATACATGTACAAAATTCTCAAGGAATAAATTACAAATATAAAGGTTGTAAATAAAAGTATTTAAATATAGAAAACATGGAGCTTCTCGAGTTCTGATGGTTTTGATGCAATTTCCTAAACCTTAATAATACATGATACTATTTCAATAGGACATGGGGCAATTTAAGCAAAATGTCGCTTTGCAAAGAACTTCAAGGCACTTCAGGAGAGGGAACCAACTTGAAAAACTACAGACAGAAGCCACAGGACATTTTCACATTGAACAATGGAGAGGTAGTTCTTAACTCAAGCACACTTCCTTACACAAAAATCCCATTCGGAGATGCAAAGCATTCTCCTCTCCTCCGGTAATTAAAAAAGAACACCTCATTTATTATACGCTAGAAGTTAAATTTTAACAGAAAGGCCTCTCTCGTTGACTACTAAGCCCCAAAGCTGGGAATGCACAGGAAGTGCATCATCACCAACGTAGTCAAACTTTGACGCTCCTTCGAATAAGATTCGTGTGTGCGTGCCTGCGTGCGCGCGTGCGTGTGTGTACATTTTAGCAACATTTAAGCCACGGAGAGCTACGGGGTAAAAGGAGTGACCACTTCTGTTCACAGTGCAATCGCCCCCCCCCCCACCAAAACAAATAAAAGTCCCGAACCCTCAAGCCGCATTTAGTCCCAACCCTTGCTCTCAGCTCAGGGTCAACAGACTATCATCGTGTTCCCTGCATCCTCTGGAGCCCCCGCATCCCTCCAGGTGAAGGTTAAGGGGCTCCAGAGAAAAGACAACAAATGCACGTGACAAAAGTTTCTCCCCTTGCTCCCCGCAGGCCCCAGGCTGCGCAGCTCCCGCGTGGGGATCTCGGCCGCACGCGGAGCGCTGGCCGCGTTTGAGGTTGCGTCTGCCGCGGCGGCAGGCGGAAGGCGGCGAGGGCCGAAACCCAGCGCGGCCTGTTACCTTTTCCTGCTCCTCGCGGAGCCGCGCCACCTCTGGGGCGCGCAGCGGCGCGGCGGCTGAGGCCTCTGAAAGGGACTGGGGCTCTGGCTCCGGCTCGGGCGGGGGCTCCATGCCGGGCACCACGGCCTCAGCGAGGCGAACAAGTCCTAAACAAGTGTTTATGGAGGCGGCGTGGCCGGCGGCTGCCCAGCGCCCGCGCGCTCGCCCTCATGCACCGCGCGCCGCGCACTGGAGAGGCCGCACTGGTCTTCGCCGCTGCCCCGGGGGCCGCTGCTCGCGTCCGGGCTACCCGAGGCCTCATCTCACACGCGCATGCCGCCGCCGCCGCTGCGCCGCCGCCGCCTCGGAGCAGCCGGCCCTACAAGCAAGAGCGCCACGCTCTTTCCCCCGCAGCCGGGCCCGGCCGAGCGTCCCGCAGCAGCCGCGCCTCCTCCGCGCCTCCGCGCACGCCCCGCCCCCTCGCCCCGCCCGCGCAGCACGCCGGGAATCTCGCAGGCTCCGCCCTGGTGGGCGTGGCTGTAGGGCGGAGCCCCGGGCGGGGCGGAGGCTGAGCGGCTCTAAAAATGTGCTCGGGATGAGCAGAGGCAGCAGGACTACTACTCCCTACTCACTCAAAGCTGCCTGTGGTGGTGGGAACTTAATTCGTGCACTGAGGCTGTTTCATAAACTCATTTAATTTTATCGAATTCTACTCCTTCCCATGCCTTTTTAATGAGCTAATGTGTTTTAATGAGCTAAAATGCACAATTATACAACTGTATTTTGCATATGTATTAATTACCGCAAACATTACAATGTTTCCTTATATATATTAAGCTGCTATATTAATATTACTATGTTACTACGTATGCACCGTTTAACACTTTTCAAAGGTAGCTGCTGCTCTATCCCACTTAATTTACTGTTCTGGTTTTTGGTTTTGTTTAGCTGTGAGGACCAAACCCAAAGTTTTGGGCTTGGTAGACAGCACTCTACCAACTGAGCTAAATGCCCATCTCAATTCCACTTACTATTTTAAAACGAGTAGGTCGGATGTGGTGGTACCTGCCTTTATTCCCCAGCACTCTGGAGGCAGAGGCAGGAGGATATCTCTGTGTTTGGAGCCAGTCTGGTCCTAAGATGGATGGATGGATGGATGGATGGATGGATGGATGGATGGATGGATGGATGGATTAATAGATCGATCGATCTCTTGGACCCACTTCCTCCTCCAGCCCTTTGTGCAGCCTCTGTTTATGGTAGTCCTCTAGTCTACCTCACTGAGTAGAACTGATGGTGTCCTAACTCTTCCAAGCCCTGACTGTAGCCCATTACTGTTCATTCAGCACTGTGTATATAGCAATAGGTCAGGAGGCACCTGCAGAACCCAGGACCTCTGTGGGTCTGTTTGTCCTGTCTCCCACTTCTGTCCCAGCTCCCAGGTCCCCTATTTTCATTGTCATTTGCATGAAAGTAGAAAAGGCGGGAACAGCTTGGGGAAGGTGGTAAATGTGAATTCTTGACTTTCCCTTCAGATGCAGCCACTTGTGAGACACAGTCAGAACCCAGACACCTCTTACATCCTGCCATCACCAGGTGTCTGTCTATCCTCCACTGCCACCTCTGGAGCTATTTCTCTGATGGTAGGCTTTGAATTATGAACTGGCCCTGTGTGTTTCGGTACTTGATCCCCAACTGGTGATACTGATTTGGAGAGCTGTTGAAAATTTGGGATGTAGTATCTACAGGGAAGGAAGTGAGTTAATGGAGGTGAGTCTTTGTGGGTATATACTTCCTGTCACTCTCTGTTAAATAAACTGAGACAGGCAGACCATGCCTCTCTGCGCTATTGACTAAACCCTCTGGTACAGAGGTTTCTCTGGTACAGAAAATGATCTGTGATAGCTTTACTTTTTTGGGTGACTTTATTAAACGTGTATCAAGCAAAAGCAAAAGAACAAATAGCGAGAGGCAAACAGATAACAGAATACCAAATCAGGCCCTTACAACATCCAGCAGAAGTAAATAGAGTTACCAGACTGGGAGAGCCGGCAAAAGTAACATAAGTAGCAAGCAGCAGATAGATAATATGAATTCAACACTTAGACTATCCCCCAGAAAGACAGGGGAAGCCCTACTGAGTTCAGTTTGGGCTATTTCCAGCTAGAGCAGAGGGTTCTCTCCACTGATGAGCCTCCCAACTCCTCATTCCCACCGCAGGCATTTTATATCACAGGAGAAATAAAAGTAATAACACTTAGAATAACCTTTAGCTGTTCTCAAGGGTGCAATATAGCTGTGTGTTCTACTTTCTCCCTGTCACTAAAGCATGAGACCGGCCTGCCCTGGGAAAGTGTCTCCTAGGACAAGTGGGGTAAACCTGTTTGAATCTGAGATAAGGGGAGTCTGTCTTTCTCTTAGAGTCAGCCTCAACATATGCAAACAGCTTACCAAGGCCACTTAAATTAAAGATGGTGTGGCAAAACAAATGCTCCCTTCCTTAAGTTGTTTTTGCCATGTCAGTCACAGTGTCACTGGTTCAACTCCACCCTGAAATGGCTGTGGGCAGTTGCCCACCGCCCTCTCCTCTTGGATGCGGTCAGCCCCAGATCACACAGAGCTTGAATTACAGCAGGCTGACTCAGCCCTAGCTCCAGTCTAAAGGCAATGGACTGGTATCTGAAGTGGTTGGCTCTAGAGAGGGCGTGCCACACTACACAAATACAGCTCTCTTCCAAAAAGTTCTCCCTTGTTCTCCCAATGCTTCCATAAGGAATCCAACCACTGGCCCAGAGGTAGAAGGCATTAGCTGTGTTTTAGACAGCTCTTCTTGGTGTGGAAGGCATGACAGAGTTCATAGCGGAAGGAGCATGGGGCAGCAGCATCATCCCCACAGGCCAGGAAACAGACAAAAGGAATTCTGCCTCTGGACCGGCTTCACAGCTTCTCCTTTTCAGTCGGTCTAGAACCCCAATCCAGAGAATGCGTCAACTACACGTATTTATTTTTATTTTCATGGGCATTGCGGTTTTGCCTGCATGTATATCTATCTGTGTGAGGGTTTCAAATCCCCTGAAACTGGAGTTACAGACTGTTGTGAGCTGTCATGAGGGTGGTGGGGATTGAACCTGGGTCCTCTGGAAGAATGGCCAGTGCTCTGAACCACTGAACCATCTCCTCAGCCCCACCAACCACACTTGAACAGATGTCACGTTATGCCTCTCTAGAAACTTCCTCAAACATTCATTCCATAACAGGAATCCCTGGAGGATAAGGAGATGTTTCCAAGGTTAAGCACACTTGCTGTTCTTTCTGATGACTAGATCTCAGCTTCTAGTACACACTCTGGATCCTCCAGCTCTTCTGGCCTCTAGGGTACCTACACTCATATGCACATAACCCCCACACAGAACACACATACATTTCGTAAATGTGCACATAATTAAAAATAAAAATGGGGCTGAGGAGATGGCTCAGTGGTTCAGAGTAATACCAGGGGACCCAAATTCAGTTCCTAGCACTCATTTTAAAAATGAGGACCCCAAATGCAGTCTAGATGATACAGCACATTGATCCCCATCTCCAAGTAGAAGAAGGATCAGTTTAGTCTCTTCTGAGGCCCAGACACTGCCTTCTCTTGCCCTTGGACAGTGTAGCTCCTGACTCATGCTGAATCACCTTCCTGGTTCTCAGGCTGAGGTGCCACATTTGGAGACTTTTCAGCCTCCATGACTTTATAAGTTACCTTGCAGCCTTAGGAAGAAAGGGTTGATTTGGGCTCCCAGTTTCAGGGGTTTCTCAGTCCATCCTTACGAGGACTACACAGAGGCAATTCACGGTGTGGATGCATGAGGCTACTCCATCCTGATAGAAAAAGAAGCTGAGGTTCCAGTCAGGGTTTTGGGTAGGTATCACCTTCAACTCCTAGTGACATGTTCCACCAACCAGACTCCACCTCCAAAAAATTCAGGGCCTTCAAAATGCAGCTACCAACTGGGGTCCAAACTATGAAGACATGAACCTGTGGAAGACATTTCTAAAACAAACTGTAACCTCAACTGCCTGAGCCAATTCCCATTGTGTACCCCTGGTTCTGTATCCATTTCCATGTGTCTGTATAGGACCCATCTGTCCCATTATTTTCCAGAGAATCTTATTCGGTGGCTAAAGTTAGAAACCTCACCTCATACACATGAGAAGCACTAGCAGTGCCAAGTGTCAGCTCACCAAGGCACATACTGGAGCCCCCTCCAGACCATCACTTCCTGGAAAGAAAGTTAGGTGAGCTTGAAAGAAGAGCTCCAAATTGCTGGCAGAAAGCGTCAGGGCAGTTGGAAGGAATGTGGGAAGCACTGGTGTCTGTGACACACAGAGGGGCCTAGAGTTCCAGAGACGTGAAAATTCCAATGCTGTGCCATTAGCAGGGGCATGTGGCCTGGCACCGCCCACTGTCCCTAGGATGGTGGAAATCTCTAAATCTCATCCTGACTCGTCCACCCCCAGCTCTGCAAAGTAGGAGGGAGATCATGGAGTTGTGGATGAGAGCTGTAGATTGCTCCCTAAACTCCATTTGCCCCCTACCCCCCCCCTGATATTACTGGCCTGACAATGAGCATGCTAATGAAAATTCAGACACAGTAATTCCATTCTAGGTCTAGGTCAAATACAGGGTGGGATCTGGGTGCTGCTTTGTGTCCATGTATCAGTCAGCTATCACTATGCAACCAAACACCCAAAGCTCAGTGATGTCAAAGAACATTAATGAACCATTCTTCATAACTTTAAAGTCCTGTGTAGACAGTTTGCCTGGGGCAGCTCCACAGGTCTCATCCCCTCCCTAGATCCAGCCGGGTTATTCTTCTCTTGAAGACAGTAAGCACAAGCAGATACACAAGTCTCTGAAATGAGCACGTTGTTACTTCAACTTCTGTCTCACGGCAGCAGCCCATAGTATCAGAGTTAGAGGTATGTGTCAAACAGCATTGATACAAAGAATGCTACTGAATGGGCCAGGAAGGCAGTCAACCTCCCAAGGATAAGCAGAGGTGAAGGCAGAGACTACTGGACAGCTTTATCCAAGCTGTGCTGCAAGGACAAATCCGGGCTGCATAGGAATTCTGGGAGAGGAGCCAGACCTAGGCAAGCAGGCTCCAACAAGAACCAGAGACCAGAGAGGCCAGGAGCCACCAAGCTGGCTGTCTGGAAGTGGCCTGGGGCAAGCGGCAAGAAGCAGGGTTCCAGCCCCTTTTCCTTGTGCCAAGAAAGAACTATGACAGAGTGCTTGGGGCTGTAAAAGACCACACCAGTGCAGCTCCGTTCCAAACCAAGGACAGTTTTTAGGCATATCGGTTTTTAAAATAGTATATCTT